AAATAAAATCGAGTTTTAAAATTAATTAAAACGAGCATCTAATCTAATTTGATGAACATGAACAAGAAAATTAAATTCTTTAAAACACCTTAATTAAACAATAATTGCAAAAATTAAAAGGAGTGTGGCTCTGATACCACTGTTGGGTTTCGTAGTGACCCGACACTACGCGGAAGGAAACCCACCAAGACCCGCTCCTTAATTAAAGCAATTAAACAAGCATAATAAATTTAATCAAACAAGATTAAGAACAAGAATTATACCTTTGACGCGTGCTTCGCTCCTAAAGAGCTCTTACTTCAAAATCCCGAAAAGACGAGATCTCCGACGGATCGTACCCTCGACCCGACCCGAGCGTCCCAAGTCTTGAAGGTTAGTCAAGACCCGGAAAAATATAACTATGAGTTTTACGAATCAAAGGTTTACTCTTTTCTTAGAGTTGCCTTTTTAATTCCACTCAAGGTTGTCTCAAATCGCAATACCAAGCTTGGTATTTATAGGGAAATGATCCCTTGATTTTCATTCCCCAACCAATGTGGGAGAATGTATATTTTGCTAATTAATTTATTTCTAAAATAAATTAATAAACAAAACTAATCACAATGCAACAAGTGTCAAATAGAGAGAGAAGGTTAGGTGAGGACCATGAATGGGTTGGGGGAACCATTGCCTTTCTCCTCAAGGCCTTGCCCCAAGCTTGGTCCCCACCCCTCACCAAAACCGGCACCTCGTGGACAGCTGGGCGGGCAGCCTGCCTTGGCTGCCAAGGCTGCCAGCTGGCGCCTAGCACCAAGGTTGGGCAGCTAGCCAGCTTGTTGTGCTAGCAAGCAGTGCTAGCATGCACTGGCCTAGCACGCATCAGCCCCAACACGCTGCGAGCTGCTGGGCGCTGGTGCTGCTAGCCTAGTGCTGCTGCCTAGCTCTCCCTCGCACACACTCTCGCATAGGGCCTCTCGCACAGTCAGCCAGCCATGCTAGCATGTGCACACCCAGCAAGCGCACTATGCACGCAAGGCCTAGCATGCGTGCTGCTAGCGAGCCACGCATGCTGGGCTTGGTGCTCCTTGCTAGCATGTTATGCTTGGTGCTGCCATGCGAAGGCACGCACGCAAGCACACAGCTAGGTGCCTCATTGCGAGGCTGCTCGGCGACGCTGCACACGCACACGCACACACGCATGTGCCTAGCACTGCGATGGTGCTGTGCGTGATGCTAGGGTGTTGCGAGAGCGCCTATGCACACTCACGCACGCGAAGGTGCTGTGCTTGGTGTGATAGGGCTGTGATGGTGCAAGGCACGCACGCACAGGCCCATACGCCAGTGCCTAGCACTGCGATGGCTGTGCTTGGTGCGACAGGCAAGCGATAGCGCCCATGAGCACCCAGGCACCCAGGTTAGCACGCTGCTAGCTGCGATGGGCTGCCTGGTGCTTGTGTGGCTTGCGATAGCTGCCATGCGCACCCAGGCACCCATGCTAGCTTGTGATGGGTTGCCAGGGCGCGCATAGGCAGCGATGGTGCCTAGCACACCATTGTGCGCCTAGCACACACATGGTGCACCTTGGCTTGCGATGAGCTAGCCTAGCCTAGCTACGGCTACGCTCATACTTGTTGCTTGTGATTTTACGACGATCGGTCTCGACGCCCTTGGCTCGATTTCCGACGTCTGTATTCGTAAAACTCTGTTGACTCATTAAATCCTTTCGGATTAATTCGTCGTCTCGGATCGGTGATTCGATTGGGTTCGACCCGAAGGGTTCAGTTAAGATTAAGCTGTAATATCAATTGTACCTCGATATTACTGATCGGAAGCGGCCTCCACCTAGGCATTCCGATCACTTGACCTTACTGAAGAATTAGCTCTGTAATAATTCTGAACCCTCTATCGGAAGAATTCACTTGTTGGAAGGACACCATTTCTTTCAAGCTGGGCTCACTAGGTGAGTCAGGCCGACGTGGCGGCTCGTCATAAGTGAAGCCACTAGGGGGGCCGAAAAGGCCCCAACCACCGTCAAAGCCTAGCGGCCAACCATAGTGACCTCTGTAAAGGTCCTCTTGCCAACTGGGCAAAGGATCAGAGGAAGCGTCCTCAGACTGGGAATACAGAGGGGCGGGGTGATCAGGATGCACATAGGGGTAAGCAGGGTCCCCTCTAAAGTCACACCCGCCGGGCACACGATAATCGTACTGCCCGTCCTCTGGGAAGCTGCGGAGCTCCCTACTAGGCTCGGAAGGACCTTGCCAGTAGGGGTAAGTGGGGAGATTGTCCCCTCCCCCACAAGAAGTAACATGGCCATGCTGAGGCGGCCAATTGGGGTAGTTCACGGGGGGAGCAATCTCTCCTTTATCCACAGCTGAGTCATAGAGGGCCTGTTGCTGCAGATGGTGGCCTTACTGTGGCTCATAAATCGCTTGCAACTGTCTAGCTATATCAGATAGCTGAAATGTACCTGTACCTGCGGGTTGCTGGGTTACCGGCTGCTGCTCCTGAACCTCCTCCTCATTACCTATCCCTACCTCATCGTCCCCATCAACATCGGGCACTCGCTCGCTATCTCTTAAAACTCTCCACACATTAGAGGACTGACGCGTGAGGGAGGTGAAGTGAGGCTTAGGGAGGAAACAATGGTGGGCTCCTCTAAATAGCCACCTAAAAGCATTGGGGTTTGCCATGGGAGTAATAAAAAACAGAGCGGCGAAGCTGGTCCAAGTCAAGGTAAATATCCCCACTACTACCTACGGTCGTGCATAGAGGTAGAAGGTCAGTGTAACCTAACTTGGTGGCCAATCTAGTGACCATCGCCCCGCAATGTATCTCCCCTGCCTTTTTCCCCTTTGCTATGGCTTGGCAGGTTTGCATAAAGAGGAAACCCAAATTCAACCTCCGTGCATGCTCTCCCTTTGTGGCTATCCATAGGCAAAGGACCTCTTCCTTAGTTAGTTTTCCTAGGTCCTATTTACAAATGATATAGTACCCTAGTAAACGGTGTAGGATCCTAAGGATAGGGTGCCAAATCTCACTAGCTATGGAAGTCCTGGTGTGAAACTCATTTTTACCTGAAATGGAACGCCACCAAGCGTACTCACTATACTCCCTAAAGTTCTTATAAAGAGGGTAGAGAAGGTCGGCATCGGAGTGAAAGTCCAGGGCTTGGTTGAATTGTGCCAGTGACATGGTGTGGGGGTTGTTGAAGAGTTGGAAAGATATCCGAAAGTCGTTGTCTTCTAGTGTGTTAACTTGAAAAGATGAGAAAAACTCTAATGTGGGTTCTTGGTAGGTCATGAATGAAGAGTTTACGAATGACCCTAGTCGAAGGTTGTCAAAAAGAATCCACAAATCGTCATTTATTCCAAGGTTTATCATGTCTCCACGATGGTAGTGCCCAGAAGGTCGCAACTTTCGTTTTTTCATGTCAGAGTATATGGAGGAGTGGCTTTTGTTTAAGAATTTTAAGGTGGGTAAGACATTGGGTTGGTCTGACTCTGGGTTTTGGGACGATTGTCCCGACTTTGCAGTTTTTCTCTTCTTCCCAATCCTTAGACTCATGACTGCCCACCTCTTTTTTTTCTGTTTTCACTCCTTTTCAAAGCCAACTCCGGCTATTTCCACCCTTAACCTCCACAAAACTACAATGTACCTGTTTACAAGCAATAATAATCCAACCAACACAACGAATATAGCCTAAGATAATAACTAACAACAACAATTCCAACAGAATCCAGCAGTAATTTCAACAATAATCAACGAAATTTCACTAATAACCTAAGATAATCAAAATCCTTGCTTAAAAATTAATCAAAAGAGAATAATTAACGAAGGAAATTGAATACCTTTACCCTTATGCGAATAAATTGATGTTTTGGTGTCGATTTGTTGAAGGTTTTGAGTAGCAAGGAGTTCGTTGCGGTTGGTGTTGAGGATGCCTATTTGCTTTCTTTGATGATGAACAAACGGTGATGATGAATGATTGAAGCTTCAGGATAATTGATTTATGAGGATGATTGATTTAAGAGGATGGAAGAAGATGATCTTGAGTATGGTGGTGAGGAGCGGCCGCGAAGAGAGAGAAAGTAATGAGGGAATTTGAGTTATGTTTGTGAGGGTTTAGGGGAGATTGCAGAAACAAAAGACAAAGCCGTATTTTTTTCTGAAACCCAGAAAGGCGAGCCCGCGCCCGATATAGGCGCGCCCGCTCCTACACATGCGCGCCCGCAAAAGATATAGGTGCGCCCGCGCCTCAGTGAAAACGCGGACCGCTCCTAAATCGCGACAAAATCGCTCCAACTCCCTGGAAATCAGACCAAACTATTGACGCGCTCGCACCTTGATTAAGCGCGCCCACGCCTCTTTGATATCGCGGGCCGCTCTTTAGCCGCGATAAAATCGCTCCTTCTTTCTGGAATCGGAGACCTTTTAGACCAAGCAGATGGCGCGCCTGCGTCAGAGTCAGGCGCGCCCGCGCCCCTTTGATGGTGCGAACCGCTCCTGTGGCGCGACAAAATCGCTCCTACGTTTGGGATTGATGGCAATTTGTGACCCAAGAACTGGAGTGCCCGCGCCTATTTAACGCGCGCCCGCGCCTTTCTGTACTCGCGCTCGCTCCTCTGCCGCGACCAAATCGCGCTGGCTCTCTGTCTTTGGTCTTCATTCGACCACAACTCCTCAAAAAAAAAATTCATTTTGCTTCAACTCTTATCTCTCTTTCCTCATGGACCTACACAATCACAGCTACATCACAATTGATTAAGAAAAGTGTTAGATGGATTAGTTCAAGTGTGGCAAAGGAAATAAAATAAATAAATAAAAAGTTGAAAACCGGGTTGCCTCCCGTAAGCGCTTCTTTAACGTCATTAGCTTGACGTCCTTCACAAAAGAATCATGGTGACTTGAAAACATCAATGAGCGATAAATTTTCAGGCTTCTCAATTAGTTGACCCTCATAGTATGGCTTGAGACGGTGCCCATTCACTTTGAATGGAGGGTACTTGTCATTGAATACCTCAACTGATCCATAAGGAAAGACTTTGGATACTTGAAATGGACCGCTCCATCTGGAACTCAATTTCCCGGGGAACAACTTGAGTCTTGAATTGTAGAGTAGGACATTTTGTCCTTCCACAAATTCCTTCTTGGAAAATTTGAGTGTCGTGCCATGCCTTGGTTCTTGCTTTGTAGAGGCTTGCACTATCATAGGCGTTCATTCTCAACTCTTCCAACTCATGAAGCTCTAGAAGTCTTTGCTCACCCGCACTATGGAGATCAAAGTTGATTTGCTTGATTGCCCAATGCGTTCGGTGCTCCATCTCTACGGGTAAATGGCAATTCTTCCCATAAACAAGCTTATAGGGGGTAGTCCCTATAAGAGTCTTGAAGGCGGTCTTATATGCCCACAATGAATCAATGAGCTTACTAGACCAATCCTTCCTTGTTCTAGCAACGGTCTTCTCCAAGATGACTTTCAACTCCCTATTTGTGACCTCCGCTTGACCACTTGTTTGGGGGTGGTAAGCAAGGCCTCGCTTGTGCGATACACCATACTTTGAAAGAAGCTTGTTGAATGTATGGTGCTTGAAGTGTGAGCCTCCATCACTTATGATTACCTTAGGAACACCGAATCTTGGGAAGATGACTTTCTTGAACAAATTGATGACCACCTTTGAGTCGTTGGTGGGAGATGCCACGGCTTCCGCCCACTTGGAAACATAATCAACGGCAACTAGAATGTGCCGGTTTCCTTGGGATGAGATGAAAGGGCCCATGAAGTCAATTGCCCAAACATCAAAAATTTCTAGTTCAAGAATCGGATTTTGGGGCATCTCACCACGCCTTGATATGTTCCCCGTCCTTTGGCACCTATCACAAGTCTTAACAAATTTCCAAGCATCTTTGAATAGAGAGGGCCAAAAGAGCATGCATTACAAAACCTTGGAAGCGGTCTTTTGAGCACTCATATGATCACCACAAGGGGATGAGTGGCACATTGAGAGCACATCTTCGAACTCTTCATTAGGAACACATCTTCTCAAAAGTCCATCCACCCCTCTCTTCAACAACATGGGGTCATCCCATATATACTTCTTTGCTTCATGCTTGAGCCTTCGATGTTATTGAGGAGTGAAATCTGGAGGTATGGCACTACAAGCCAAGTAGTTCACAATATCCACATAACAAGGCTCCGATTTTGCCTCAAGAGCATATAAGACATCATCCATTAGGGCATCTTCAATTGGCAAACCGTCTTCATGTATTCTTGCACCTCCCAACCTAGAGAGGTGGTCCGCCACCACGTTCTCGGCTCCCTTCTTATCTCTCATTTCGTAATCAAAGTCTTGAAGGACCAAGACCCATCTCAACAACCTTGGTTTGGCCTCCTTCTTACTTATCAAATATTTGAGAGCCGATTGATCAGTATACACTATTGTCCTAGAACCAATGAGGTAGGTTCTAAACTTCTCAAATGAGTGGATAACTGCCAAAAACTCTTTTTCGGTAGTTGTATAATTTCGTTGAGCATCATTGAGAGTCCTGGACAAATAGTATATAACGTGAAGTTTCCCATCCTTTCTTTGTCCTTGGACCAATCCAATGGCCTCGTCGCTTGCATCACACATTAGCTCGAATGGTAGAGACCAATCCGGTCCTTGGACTATGGGGGCGGTGCAAAGAGCCTTTTTCAACCTACAAAATGACTCATGGCAAGCTTCATCAAATACAAATTCTTTATCCTGTTGCAAGAGAGATGTGAGAGGCTTAGCAATCAAAGAGAAATCTTTGATGAAGCGGCGGTAAAAGCCGGCATGACCAAGGAAGGACCTTAGTTCTCTCACATTTGTAAGAGGAGGAAGCTTCTCAATCACATCAACCTTCGCACCATCAACTTCGATGCCCGCTTGGGAGATTTTATGGCCAAGAACAATGCCATTTTCCACCATGAAGTGGCATTTCTCCCAATTGAGCACCAAGTTGACACTTTCACACCTTTCTAAACAACGAGATAAATTCATTAGGCACTTCTCATATGTGCCTCCACAAACAGAAAAGTCATCCATAAAAACTTCCATTTCTTCCTCGATCATTTCACTAAAAATTGACATCATGCATCTTTGGAAGGTAGACGGGGCATTACAAAGACCAAAAGGCATCCTACGGTAAGCAAAAGTACCGTAGGGACAAGTGAAAGTGGTCTTTTCTTGATATTTTGGGTCAATTGGGATTTGGAAGAATCCCGAATAACCATCAAGAAAGCAATAAAAAGCATGCTTTGTAAGCCTCTCAAGCATTTGATCGATGAACGGTAATGGAAAATGGTCTTTGGAAGTGTTGGCATTTAATTGGCGGTAATCAATACACATACGCCAACCCGTAACAAGCCGAGTTGGGATCAATTGTTTCTTATCATTGACCATTACCGTCATACCTCCCTTTTTCGGCACTACTTGAACCGGGGACACCCAATCACTATGAGCGATTGGATAGATGATCCCCGCTTCAAGTAGCTTGGAAACTTCCTTCCTCACAACCTCTTGCATGGAAGGATTAAGTTTCCTTTGCCGTTGCCTACACGGCTTAGCACCCTCCTCTAAATCGATTTAATGCATGCATAGGGAGGGGCTTATACCCTTGAGATCATCAAGAGCATAACCCAAAGACTTCCTATGCTTTTTCAAAACATTAAGCAATGAGGAGGTTTGCTCTTCGGTGAGGTTAGCATTGACAATGACCGAAAAAGTATCATTAGCATCCAAAAAGCCATACCTCAAGCCCGAAGGTAGAGGTTTCAATTATACCTTCGGAGCTACCTTACCATTGGAGATTTCCTCCTCTTCTACTTGGAAGACTTCATATGTTTGGAGCATCTCTTGGTCGGGGGTCGTCTCCTCTTTCTCATCAAGCATTTCCTCATATAACTGCATCTCCTTTTGATCACCTACCTCATTCTCATTCAACAAAACATTCTCAAGTAGATCATTAGAAGCATGCATATGAGGGTATCTAAACTCATTTATTAAGTTTTCAATTGTATCTATTCTAAAGCATTCATTGCTAGAGGAAGGTTGTCTCATTACCTTATTCAAATCAAATTCGATAGAATCATTGTCAACCTTCAAGGTCATCTTGCCTTCTTTGACATCAATAATTGCTTTAGAAGTAGCTAGGAATGGCCTACCCAAGATTATAGGAATTCTTTCATCTTAATCCATCTCAAGAACATAAAAGTCCACCGGAAAAGTGAACTTACCAACTCTAAGGGGTATGTCCTCTACTTTCCCTATAGGCAATTTTGTGGACCTATCCGCTAGTTGGATGGTGATGTTTGTAGGTGAAAGGTTTCCCACATTAAGCTTTTGGTAGACCGAAAAGGGCATTAAACTCACACTAGCACCTAGATCACACAAAGCTTTCCCCAAATGAACCTCATTGATAGAACAAGGGATGGAAAAACTACCGGGATCTTGCAATTTAGTTGGTAGCTTACTAGAAAGAATAGCACTACAATTTGTAGGCTAACGGTTTCAACTTCTTACCAACTCTAAGGGGTATGTCCTCTACTTTCCCTATAGGCAATTTTGTGGACCTATCCGCTAGTTAGAGGGTGATGTTTGTAGGTGAAAGGTTTCCCACATTAAGCTTTTGGTAGACCGAAAAGGGCATTAAACTCACACTAGCACCTAGATCACACAAAGCTTTCCCCAAATGAACCTCATTGATAGAACAAGGGATGGAAAAACTACCGGGATCTTGCAATTTAGTTGGTAGCTTACTAGAGAGAATAGCACTAAAATTTGCGGTTAGGCTAACGGTTTCAACTTCTCTCCTTCCATTCAAGAGGTCTTTTAGGAATTTAGAGTAGTGTGACATCTCTTTCATAGCATCCACAAAGGGTGTAGATACATGCAAGCTCTTTACTACATCTAAAAATTTTCCGAATTGGACATCAAGCCTAGACCTAGCAAATCTTTGGGGAAAAGGCAACCTCTCATTCCTAGGTTGGAGATTAAGGGGTAAAGGTGTTTGATCTTTGGTGTTCCCCTTTTCGGGTTCCTTCTCTTTATCTTTCTCACCCCTCTCATTCTTTCGACACTTCCCTCTAGAATCTCATTCTCTCTTGATGACTCATCCTCAACCTCAAGTCCTATCCTCACATCGGAACTCTTCTCAACATTTAAATCACTCTCAAGGATCTTCCCACTTCTAGTAGTAATGGCATACATAGACTTGGGGTTGACACCTTGGCTAAGTAAAGAAGAAGGGGAGGATGAAGAACTTGGTTGGGCAATTTGAGAGATTTGGGTCTCAAGCATTTTCATGTGTGCCTTGATTGTTTCTTTTCTTCCTCTTGACTCTTATTATGGTTTTCTTGATTTTTAATGAAATTTTGAAGCATAGTCATCATAGGATCCGGAGGGGCTTCTATTTGGAGGGATTGAGTAAGGGGAATTTGAGAATGGGGCTTTACTTGGTCGAAACCGGGGGGTCTACTATTTTGTGAGAAAGTAGAAGAATTTTGAGGTCTATTACCCCCGGAACCCTGATTGGAATTAAAACGTTGTTGGTTGTTGGAATAGTGTTGTTGGTTTTGATTCCAATTGGGCCTTTGGTTTGAGTAACTTCTTCCATTGTAATTGGAAGAGTTTCCCCTACCTTGGCCTTGGTTATCATAACCACCACCACTTTGATTCCATTGATTTTGATTCCAACCTTGGTTTTGATTCCAACCACGGTTTAGGTTTTAGTTTCAGTTTGGCCGCATTCCAGCATTTCCCTCACGGGGCACAAAATTCATGGCATTAACATCTTCAACATTATCATCATTTTCATGGGGAGGGGGACCTTCACTTATGGACATACATTGTTGAGAATTATGATCGTAGCCTCCACATATATCACAAAACATACAACCGGGAGGCATAGCATTGTAATTAGAGGGAGAAGAAGTAGAAGGATTCACACCATGGCCTCCCTTGGGAGAAGGGGAGGAAGTATTTTGAGAACTTGATTTCATGAACTCCTCCATTTGTTTCGCCATCTTTTCCATTTGGTTGGAAAGATTTGTGATGGCATTGGTTTGCTCGACGGATTGTACCGTTCCTTTGCTAGAAGTGGCTTCCCTCTCACCTTCGTACCAATCCTCATAATTGCGCACAACATCTTCTTTGATACTCTCCACTTCATCTTCCCTTTTGTTCATGATTGGGCCTCCGGCTCCGGCATCAAGGCTAGTCTTGCTTTGAGGGGAGAGTCCTCTGTAGAATGTTTGGAGAACTTGCCAATTAAGAATTCCATGGTGTGGGCATTGCCTTTGTAACTCTTTGAATCTCTCCCATGCCTCACAAAGAGACTCTCCACCTCTTTGGCGAAAACTTTGAATCTTTGAGCGAGCCTCGGCGGTTTTCTTGTGATTGTAAAACCTTCCTAGGAACGCCGTAGTTACCTCATTCCAAGTCGTGAGGGAATCGGGGGGAACATCCTTGTTCAACCAATGTTCCGCCGCTCCCATGAGTGAGAACGGGAACATCTTCAATTTTATGTACTCTTGGGAGACTCCGTTGATCTTGATAGTGTCACAATACTTGAGAAACTCTTTGAGATGCTCATGGGGATTCTCAAATTTCCCACCGGTAAATTGCCTCTTCTCTATCATTGAAATGAAATTAGGCTTTATCTCGAAATTGTTTGCTTGAGTGGTGGGGGCTAAGATCCCACTTTGAGAGGCATATGGTTCGGGTGCTCCAAGTTGCTTTAGTGACCTTTGATCACCCATGTTTCCTTGATCAGCCATGCTTTGTTGATTATGGTTATGGGCAAATGGGTTGGG